AGGCGGGCGAGTGGGGGGCACCAAGCCAGGGCTGGCGAGTTGCCCCACGGGGTCGGGTTGAGCAGGTCAGTTTTCGGTTCCTAAGAGCCAGGGTTTGTTGTGCGTTTGTTGTCACCATGACAGCCCTGTTGGGACAGAGCACAGTCCTTGGCCAGCTCCTGCTGTTCCTCACGCAGCCCAGAGACGGAAGCCCGGGAGGAGGCTGTGACTTGGTCCGGAGCCCGTGGCGCGGGCAGGAGCTGAGGAGGAGGTAGCACAGGTCCTGTGGGGTGGTGGAGGAGCACAGACAAAGCTCAGTGCTCAGCTCCCCGGGGACCTTTCCCTTCTTGCGATTTCCAATAAAGGTCAGGATGTTCCCAGGCTGTCTCCTGCCCTGGGGAGCTTAATGAGCTGTGTAACTCCAGCGCTCACCCGAGACACACTGAGGCTCACAGCTCAATGTCACCGAGACACGGCTTCAGATGCCGGGCTTGTCCCTGCTAGGACCATGTCTGTCTCCCTACCTTCCCACAGAGTCCTGGAGTGCTGTGACTGCTCCAGGGTGCAGCTCAGAGCTCGCACAAGAGCACAAGCACGACCCCGGGGCACCCTCTGCGCTCACCCTCCGTCCTCTTTGCCTCTCGCCTCCCTGGGGGCTGGGCACCGCAGGCTCCCCGGAGTCATCTTGTTTCAGGAATGAGTCGCTGGCTCGGCCGTATCTGGGGTGGGATGAGGTTATGCGGGAACGCTGCTTCTCTAGCGCAAGTTGCTACAAAACAGAGGGAAGTGTTTCGGAGGTTGTGCAATATGTATACGGTAACCCCAGCAACAGCATGTCCACAAGGCATTAATGGGTCTTAGCTGCGGCTGATGAGCGGCGCGATCGCGGCGTGCGTGCGTGCATGCCGGGTGTGCCAGCAGCGCGCAGAGCCAAGGGGGGGGTTCTGCCGCTCGAGCTGGGGTCCCGGCTGCGATGCACAGCACAGGGCAGAGAGGAGGGGAAAATGTACCCTCCTGCGGCAGGAGCTTCCTTCTCCCTCCCTGCAGTTCAAGGCAGCCCCTTGAGATGCTCTCAGGACGTGTCGAAAACAGAGCCCGGGAACAGACTCACCAAAAATCATTTCCCAAAGGAAGGTCCCCTTGACTTCAAAGAGAAAAACTAAGAAACTTGAGTCGCACCCGAAGATGAAAGCGAGCAGGGCGTACGTCCCACGCCAAGGCTGAGAGAGGAACGCGCTGCAAGGCCTGGCACAGCCGCTGGCAAGTGGCCAGGGATGGGGATTTCTGATTTTAGAGGACTCCGGAAAGCTGTCACCATCCTGCAAATGCATTGCTTGCTCCTGATGAAAAG